TTAAAAGGAATTTTCAAGAAGGAAAATAAATCACTCCAGTTGACTAAATCCTAAATCCTAACAATTAATTTTCTTATTGTATATTCTCTTTTAGTCGTTGCCTAGAGTTTTGCACAAACATAAGCAGAGTGAACTACTGTATACCAGTTTAACACCACAGATTGTGTGGGAAACACTTCCTTCATCATTACAGCATCTCCGTAGTTATTCTTTTTAATGACAATACTTACAATAGCCTGTAACTCACTTAACAATTCCCTTATTGGTGACATTCAGATTGTTTTAGTTTTCTACCAATGAAGATGATCTTGCAATGAATAGCTGGGTTCACATTTCTTGTTCCTTCTTTTATAATATTTCCTTAGGATAAATTCCTTCTACTTAGATTGCTAGCTCAAGGGACAGAATGATATTTATGACTCACTCATGGGTTCACCAAATATTTATCAAGTACCAACTGTATGTCAGAGTGTGTGCAGGCGTTGAAGACACAAAGATGGATGAGCTAGTTTCTGCCATCATCGGACTCACAGGCCAGTGGAGACCGACCCATAAGTGATAGTTTATAAGTGCTACTATCTTGGTAGAGGCTGAGCTACAGGACTCTAGGGAATTGTTTAAAGCGAGTTGAGGAAGGGGAGGAATCTGGGCAAGTAACCTGCTCCAGAATAGAATTTACTTGCAAGTTACTTGAAAATCAAAGGAAATGTCAACCTGGTGGACCAGGAAAGAAAGAAATTCTGCATAGGGCAAATAGGAACACTGATGAAGAGAGCACAAGAAAACGAGATATATCCCAGGACTTGCAAGTGGCTTGATAATATTAGGGCATGGATGTGGGTGTGAAGAGGGTTCCCAGAAGGTAAGGAGGGAAGATGAGCTTGAGCAGGTTGGTGGGGCAGCCTGGAGTTAATTTTGCAGGCTGAGGTAACAGGGAGCTTGTAAGGGGTTAAAATAGATTCTTGATACATTTTTCTAATGTTTTTCTAAATCATACTTATTTACAAGAAAACAGAGAGATTTTGCTGTGGTTGTTCTCATTCTCCTTGGGGAATTCCGTGGGACTCTGTCCCCACCGGGAAGGGCGGGGCAGCCTGGGAGGGAGCAAATGGACACTGGCCTGAGGCCATCGCGCCCAGTGGAGATGAGCATTAACTGAGCGGTAGGAGAGTGTTAATGAAGGAGTTGATGGATCTCCCAGGATTAGAAGCAAAGGGGGTGGGGAGTACAATTAGAATGGAATTTGTAACTCCTGCCATCTCCCACAAAAGCCAGGAAAACATAAAGCCCAGTCTCCCTCCAAGGCCTTTAAGGCATTCCTAGTCCTTTTATCCTTCTCCAGAACTTTCCTCTGGGTAGGGTGGCTTAGTCACACTAGGTAGAAGGATACAGTCCCTATATCCCCCATCCTGCTGTCACTGTTCCCACCACCCCTGGACTGTGCACATGTCCCTTTCATGAGCTTGTCAACTGGTTGAATCGCCGTGTCTCTCAGTACCCTATGGACATCTTCCTAAATGAACTATTACTCATCGCCCTGGTTCCGGCACCTACCCAGAGTATAATGCCTGCAGGTGCCATCAGCTAGTACTCAATTTACCGAATTACTATTTGGTCATGTGATAAACCATGTGGGAGGCACAGAAGGGACAATAGACAAACACACAGCTACCAAGGACCAGCACTGTCATTTCCTGGGATGATAAGGAGATCAGGAGCCCTGAGGAACTCTGGCGGTTATTTGGCCCCTTTTATCCTGCCTACATCTCCTCTCTCTGCCTCGCATTATCCACTCCAACTTCCAAAGACGTAACTGAGCACCCACCCCAGGAGCCCCAGGTTGCTTCCTGCTCCCAGGCTGGGGCTGGAGGGAAGCAGAGCCAGCAGCCATGCATTTCTCCACCCGACTCTAACTCCTGAGCCCTTATTAAATTCAGGGCTGATTTGGGCTGTGTGAGCATTCCTCGGCCACCTACTGTCTGACCAATTTCTTTTCTCTTTCTCCCTCATAGTAACTAATAGTTGCTCTATCCTCCAGTCTCCAGGTCTCCTGTCCCCTTGCTTCCTCCTGTTCACAGGCAGTTGAGTCCCGAGGCTTCCTCGCCAGAAGCAGAGATCTGGAAGGAAGGCCAAGCCCTCGAGTCAGCTCCTTTGGGGCCCAGTGCCCTGGGGAGGCACTGCTGTGGAAATGACAGCATGGCGGGGAGGGGACAGAGATAGGAAAGGCACATGCAGAACAGAGAGACCAAGCAATGGGGGGAAGCTCCTAGAAAAAGGAGACAAAGACTCCGAAGGAGAGATCCCAGATAAATTCCAGAGTCCAGCGCAAGAGAGGCAGCAACATGGGAGGTAAGATGGAAGTGTAAAATGCGGATGCTGGAGAGAGGCGTAGGAGGAGGCAGTAAGATGAAGAGGGGCCCCCAGAGAGCCAAACTGCTACAAAACACAATTTGCGCACTGAAAATTTGCTACCCCTTGTCATCTTCCAAGGAGAGAGAGCACCTTGGAAACCGAGTGCCTGTGATTTGGAGTGTCAGTCACAGCGCCTAGTGCTGGGCAGGTCCTCATGAAGGTTGTGTGCTCACACTCACTCTCACACAAGTGTGCCCCAAGCACGAGCTTGCAGCCAGCTAGGGGGTACCGCCTATGGGGTGGTGGCTGCAGAAGCATGGCCAGTGCACATGGACTTGACCCTAGGCAAGTGGGGGGAATATCAGGCTGGGGCCTGGACACCTTCAGCACTGGACCCTCCACAGGGAGCCAGGAAAGTTCATTTGGCACCAAGAAGCGTCTGCTCTCACCCTGTTCGCAATCCCAGCTCTGCCTATTGTCATCACTCACATGGAAATGGCAAAAACCAGACATGGAAGCATTTTGCAAACTGTAAAGTGCCCCAGAAATAGGAAGAGAGATTGTCACCTTCCCAGGCAGCTCACAGAAGGGGCCGGAGGAGAAGGAGGAGCTGCCTGGCAAGGAGTCCCAGCTGTGCTGGAGGGTCTTTCTAGCTCAGGATCCAGCCAGCTTCTCAGTGCTTGCCCCGGGCAAGGGGTCTCCTCGCCTCTGGGCCTCTGCCTGGAATGTCTCTGCACATTGTCTTTGCTGGCCTAACCCCTACTCTACCTTCCGGTCTCCATTTAAATGTCACTCCTTCAAGGAAGACTTTCTACAGCCTCCACGTTAGTTTAGTGTTTCTGCTGCATGCTCTAATGGAACCCTGTGTTTCTAGAAGTGTGTGTGTGAGGGAGAGAGAGAGAGAGAGAGACAGAGAGAGAGAGAGAGAGAGAGACTGATTGAGAGGCCCCCTTGTCGCTGTGAGTTAGAGCGGCCCTGAGTCCCCCACAACCCTGACTGTAGCCCACTCCACAGTGCCCAGACCACAGAGCAGAACCACCAGGGCTGAGTGTGGGTGCTTTACCACCTGCCCACCAGCTGCCACTCTCTTTAAACTCTTGGGGAGAAGCCACGGGAGTCTGAAGCATTTTCTGGGTCACTGCCTAGCAATTTGGTAAGTGCGGCCTTCCTTCCCCACCCTCGTCTCTCGCTGAGTAAGCTCAGAACCCCTGCACCCCCGCACCAGCGACAAGCATCGCCGCATTCAGCAGGAATCTGTTGCTATGGTGCGGGCACATGCCTGCGGGTGGCTGCAGGAGCCGCCTTCCCGGCCTGGAGGTGGAGGCTGCAGGCATCTCGGCAGTACATGCTGTGGCGTCTCATGCCATCCAGAGGACATCCGCCCCTCACAGGAGGTGGGGGAGGAGGCTGGGGAGGCCCGGCGGGGCCCAGCTCCTGCCTCAGATGGTGGGGGCCCTCTGCAGCATCTGCCTTCCCTGGGGTCCACCTCACTTTTTCCCAAATGAGGTTCTCTTTCCTCCTGGACCTAGGCTGCTTAAGTGGGGACCAGTGAGCAGCACCTCACCTGATTTGGAACTCTGCAGTGTCACCTTCCCAGAAGCCACTTTGGCCACTCTATTGGCTACTCAATGCTGTCACTGTGCCTTATCCTTTTTGTACATCTAGTGTCTGGCTTCCTTGTTAGACAAAGCTGGAGGAAGGCAGGGGTTTTGTTTCTACTGCACTGGCGCTTCCTGCTCTGGCCTCAGAAGCCTGACCTCTGGGCATGGCCCTCCAGGCTCTCTGATGACCATATGCTTGTTGGGTGTGGCACTGCGGGCATCCGAGAGAGCTGAGGAGTTGGGGTGGAGGTAGAGAAAGTGGCCTTGCTTCCTGCTCCCTCTCTGCTCTGACACAGGGTACCTGGCAGGAGTGGAGGGTCCCTCCTGGGCTACAGCTCCCATGTGATGCCCACGCTCATGAGCTCCAGTAACACTCCCTCTTATGGCTGCCAGCTCTTCAGGGTTTTAGAATCTCACTGAGCCTTGGGGTTCTTTGCCCTGCCCACATCTCTGTAATTAGCCCCTCCGTTAAAGCCTCTTTGTCTAAACTAACTGGGGTGGAAAACATCACCCGTTGAGACTGTTGTACAAACGAGGCTCAGCACAGCAAATATGGTTGAAAGAGTGAACCAATAAATGGCTCAGGATCCTGGCTGAGCTCCCGGAGAAGCCCCAGCTGCTCTGGAAAGTTAGGGTGGGAGGCAAAAGGAAATTCAAGGGACACATAGGCTCTTTCAATAGGACAACCCCAAAACTGCTCCGGAGCAAGAGCAGCACCCATATTTGCAAAGGTTCTAAGTAAGAAAATTCCAGGGTCTCTGGCTGTGGCCTGTTCTAATGACTTACAACTTCCTGGCAGAAATATCTTCCTAATGTCTAACCCAAATCCCTTCTATTATAGTGGGAAACTCCTTCTTGGTCTGAAGCTCTAGGTTGCCTCTCTCTGCTATTACCCTAGGAAATCATGCCACGTTAGCAGTTAGCCTGTCGTGTTCTCGCATGCTACGGCCGTAAGCGGGGAGTGCAAAGGACATAGGATTTGAGTCCAGAAGAGCAGAGTATTGGTTCTGACACATTATGCCGAGGACTTCAGGAAACTCATCTCACCTCCTAAGCATCCTTTTGGCATCTGTAAGAAATAAATAACGGAGAGCTCTGTCCAGTCTGCTTCCTGCCCTGCATTTGTGAACAGCAAATGAAAAAAAGGTACACGTGGGAACACTTCCTGCATCCAATGCGGGCTAACACCCTCATTTTCTTCAGTATTTTTAATCTCAGGATCTGGATATTCTTAGAGTTCTCCCTTTTCTAAATTCGCTTGAAAGGGCACCAAAATTTGCAATGGGTTCTTCCCACTGTGGACATATTAGGGGTGTAGGAATGGGGACTGGGTGGGTATTATATTTCTGGTCCCTCTGAGGATGGTGCGTTAATGGCAGCTTGGCCAGGCAAGAGCCTTGGTGAGGCCATTTGATTTCCTGCGAGGATGCCACTGCTGCCGCCTACTTGCTGTTGTGAGGAGGATGTGTGCTACCCTGTATTGACAACACAGACGCCGACTCCCCACGCCCTCACTGGGGAACACACTGGTGCTGTCTGCTGCTGCTGTCATGAAAAGCCCAGAGCAAGAAATAATATTCATAGAGGATTATCGGAAGGACATGCAGCCCATCTATTCCTCTAGATATTCTAGATTTTTATCCCCGGATCAAGTCAGATGATCAGAGAGCTGTGTATCTGGACCAAATGGTTTTGGCTCCTTCTGGAAGTAGATTTACTGACTTACTGTTTTAACTTTGCACTGAAGAGATGCTTTCAGAAAAAGCAGTGAGTTTAACTATTGCATTCAATGGAAGAATGGTATTTTCAAAATTGCCTCTTAGATCTCTGTATTCTTTTGTGAAATCCCACATGGGAAATTTCCCTCAGCTTCAGCTTCTCCTGGGAAATTGGTATAACTTTTACTAGTGGACAATGCAAAATCTGCCACAGCGGGCTTCCCTTTTGTCTTTGGCTGCTAGGGAGCTCAGGCTATCTGGTATGAATTTCTGTTCCAGCTTTTCCTAGGACTCATATTTTAATTTTTCCTCTATTTCACTTCATCCCCATCATCTGTCTATATTTTTGTCTTATTGTAGTGTGTCATTATTACAAGCTACTTCAATTCCTTTTTGTAACTCTGCAAAAACAACAACAACAAAAAAATGACTGGTGGCTCCTGATATTAGGAAAGTGTGGCAAAGTGACCTCAGCAGCGTAGACAAAAGCAACACACATATGTTTCTGTTTGCACGGATCTTACGTTCTTGTTGTATGTTATGTTTGTGTTATGTATATGAGATGGACACCAAAACACGTGTCGTTATTCATTCCTCATACAGCCATTGCGACTTTCTGTTTAGTACTAAACCCTTCTGTTTAGTACTAACCTTTATTAAATTAGTACTAATTTAATAAAGAGTTATTCAGTCCTGCTGGGTGATAGAAACAGTGCTGAACATGACTATAGTCATGAAAATTAAAGATGGTGGAGAAGATAGACGATTTAACTAAAAAGTACCCAAAAAAGGACAGGGATGAGTCTGAGGAGGGTGTACTGGGGGGTGGGGACACCTCGCATGGGAATGCTCTCCCGTCCAGAGTCTGAGGGGCCTGCTAGGGAAGGGATGTTCACACTGACATCGGAGAAGGATGAGGAGTTAGACTGGCAAAGAGGAGGGGAGGAATAATGTCTCTCAAAGAAAGGACAACATATAAAATACTAGGTCATGTCAACAGGTGAGTGGATAAACATGCTGCTTTTCAGTCCTAAGATGGAGTATTCCTCAGTTGTGAAAAAGGAACAGCTACTGATGTCAACAACAATTTGGGTGGATCACAGTGATCTGAGGCTGATTGAAAGTCATCCTCAAAAGTTGAATCCTGTATGATGCCATGGACATGATGTTTTTCTAAGAATATAATGACGGAAAGCGAATGTGTGTGTAGTAAGAGCTAGGGAAGGGGGACAGTCACCCAAACAAGGGCATGAGGGCATTTTGTAGGAGTAATGGGACTATTTTGTATTCTGACAGTGATGGTGTGTACAGGTGTGCTACCATTATCAGAAATGGACACCAAAAATAGAAGTCCATCTCACTGCTTACTAATTTAAAAAAAAGTAAAATCTATGCTCATCAAAGAAAAGTTAATAGCTGGGGACTTCAAAAAAGAAAATTAGGGGTGCAATGGCATACAGTGGACCTTGATGACTCCACAATGTTTTGTTCCCAGAAAAGATCGGCAGGGGCAGGCACAACAGCTGTGCCAAGGTGGTGCTTGCACGTTATCCTGACAGCAGTGGGGAGGCTGCTTATTTAGTAAGTGGATGGATAAATGAAATCGAACTTAGTCCTAAGTGAATATGTCATTTCCGTGTCTCTACCTAGTTTCCTGCTACATTTCTTTATTTCTCCATCACTACTCCTATTTTTCCTGTTGGTCAGACTTATGACATTCTAGTCACTGTTGACCTCTCCATCATTTTTGTCGCCTAAAATCAAAGACTATATATAGTGATAATTTTAAGCAAGGGAAGGACATAACCAGATTTGCATCTGAAAATCATCCCTCTGCAGTATAGAGTGGATTAAAAGGAGACCCACATGTTTGGGAGGAGCTAGTGACAGGCGGCTGGGGAGGTTCAGGTGGACCCAAGTGGCTCAGAGTAGGAGGAGGAAGAGAAACAGGCTCACACCTGAAACAACCTCTTATTTATCCAAAGTGCAGTGGACAGAGGATGACTATGGGTCAAAGTTCATTCTGTGCATAGCCCCAAGACAAGCACTTATTTATGGAGAGGAGATGCTTAGTCCACTTCTGTATCCGGCATATGGGCTAGAACCCTCTGGTTCTTCCAGTTACTTGGTTCCATCTCTTCAGCGATAGGTGCACAGAGCCCCCGGGGCTGATGGCAGGACAGGTGCAGGCAGTAGATGGGTCCTAGGAGGCACCACCATGACTCCAGAGTCTCTGAGCAACAGCTCCCTCACATGCCTTCATCCCTAGGGCCAGGTGAAATTTAGGAGAGGCAGGGGTGATGGTCCAAGGGCAGAGAAGGAGAGGCAGGAAGGCAAATTACAATACTTCCTCCCCCAAGTCCTGCAGAGAAATGGCTTCCTAGTGCTTTATCTGCCCTGGATATCGGCTGCAAGGATCTTATCAAACTGTAATTACCCAGCCTGGGTCTGTGCTAATTGGTTCTCTGGAGTAAAGTTACCTCCAATCTGTGTGTTATGGGTGCACAGCAGGAAGTGATTTGAGCCAAGGAGGTTGTCTGTGATGATATGTCAGGGAAATCACTGTGGTGGCTGATAGAACACTGAGCTGGGACCTGCTTCAGAGAAAGGGAATTAGCCCATGGGTCCCCATTCTCCCCCAAAATGACCAGTCAGTCTCATGTCACCTAGTGTCCAGGGCTCTCTTAGGGGACAGTGGGGTATCATCTCCCTCCATTTTAAAAAAGGCAGGGAGTGGTGGGGGTTGGGGGCTGGGGAAGAGGAAGGAAAACAGGCAAAAAGGAAGGAAGAAGCTAAGGTGAGGGAGGGAGCAAGGAAGGAGGGAACAGAAAAAGGGGAGAAAAGAAGAAAGAAGAAGAAACCCTCTAGCTCTACTGCCCTCCCTGGTTACCATATTCTTGAAATCATCTCAAAGATGATGTCTCCAAGCACAGTCTCATTGCCTGACAAGCCACTTCTGTGAGGTGAGTGTCTCAGTCTGCAACAGAAATCCCATTTCTTACGTCCTCCAAAGATGTAGGATGAAAGAATCTGGTGGTCATTAAGGCTCTGAAAGACCATCGAGTCCAATGTGAATCTTCTACACATCAGCCTGCTGCACGCCCTCAGTTGGGAGACCAGCATCCCACAGGCAGCCTGTGTCATGATTAGTGGATCCCAAATGTGTCTGCAGATTCACAACCACTCCAATAATTGGAGCGATCTTCTGTTAATTTTTATATTGAGCCCAAACCTGTCTCCTCATAATTCCATTTAGCCTTTGGATGGCACTAAGCTCGCACGTCTCCCCCAACAGCACTTGAGCTATTTTCTCCGAAAATATCGGAATCCGACACCACCTGCATCCTGTGCCTCCAGACGAGAACAGCTGCTCTTTCCTCCAGAGACCCTTTCCTGGTGACTCTGTTTCCCCACTTGGTCCTTCACAGTTCTCAAGTTTTGATTTCTGGCTCTTCCTCCTCTTCCTTCAAGGTAGATTTACTGAAGGGGAGAGTGAAGCATGCCTCTTCTTCAAAAGAACAAGTTAATTCTCTTTGGCTCACTCCATCATGATGGACTCCAAATCCTGAACCTTACCTTGACCTCCCTTTGGAGCTCTAGACCCACTACCCTCAAATTATTCCGAGTAGAGTAGCTAAGTGTCACCGGTCAGACTCAAGTTCAAATTGCACTAGTTGGGATAGTTATTTGATCTTTCTGAGCCTTAATGTCCTTAACTATAGAATGGAATAAATAATATCTTCATAAGATGGCTATCAGGGCAATGTTTGATAGTATACCAAAAGCACAGTGTATGGACCAGGAGCTTAATAGGTGGGAAGTATCACTATTATCACAATCTGTTCAACCTTCCTTTGTAACCAGTGTTTCAAGCCTATGAATTGTTCTGTTTCCACCTAGTAACGAAGTACCATTCTTGGCAAATGGCAGGCAGTCAATAAATATTTAGTAGGTGGACGGATAAAGGAAATCTAACTTAGTCCTAAGTGAATATATCATTTCTGTGTCTCTACCCAGTTTCCTGCTACATTTCTTTATTTCTCCATCACTACTCCTATTTTTCCTGTTGGTCAGACTTATGACATTCTAGTCACTGTTGACCTCTCCATCATCTTTGTTGTCTAAAATCAAAGACTATATATAGTGGTAATGGTCACTATGTTCCCCCACCTATAGCCTCTCCTAAGCCCTGCATGCATTACTCGGGTTCTGTTTTTTATTATATGATCCAGATTCTGCTATCAGTTTATTCTTCAGACTATAGCTGGGTGGGAGTAAGGCCAAGTCCAGCCAAACCAACATTGGCTAGCAAGCTACAGTACAATAAAGTATGGAAAACTGAGTCAACCCTCTCTCCAAAGTGTGAAGAGGCATGTGTTAAACAGCTGAGTCACTTGGCAGTGGGAGTACTGAGGGGTCACAGTTGGCCTGGAAAAGTTGAAGTTATTAAGGGAGAGGAAAATGTAAATGATCAGAGAAAGAGAATAGACAGAAGAGAGTAGAGAAGCTGTACAGGAAGAAGGACTGATCCTAGAATCCAGAGAGAGCCCAACATTTTGACCCAAGAGGAAAAGAGACAGAGAGAAAACAGCATGTCCCATGGACATTCCCCGGGTTTCTCAAGGACTTCTAGGTTCAGTTCTAATTCCCATCAACCACATCCTTCCAATAGCTACACACCCATCACCTTTTACTTCAATCTGAGACTCCCTGTTAAATAGTTTGACCACATCCCAAGTTATTAGTATTTTCTTTCTTAGAGTCTCTTACTCCTGTTCATTACCACTATGTGATCTTCAAAGGCAGATTTTTCAGTTTCCCTGGCTAATCCCAATGAAGGATCTTGACTCCAACTGCCTATATTCTCTGGTTTATACCCTCTAGTATCTATCATTGTGCTACTTCCTCACTCAAAATTCTCCATGACATCCCAGTGATTATTAGATAAAGTCCAAATTTAACACACATTGAGAACTAATCTTTTAGTTCTCAATCAAACCTGCAGTATTATGTCCGAACACAGAAACTCACAATGGTCAATGAAGATACCTCCCCTTCATACTCTCCCCCATCATGTTCTACTCCTTCCTAGTTCACATCTTCCCCTCTGTGTTCTAGAATGATCTCTTTCTACTCAGCTCCTATGCTTCTCTTTTCCCTCCTCTCTTTTTCCTGTTCTTATCCAAATTCTACTTCACATTCCAAGGCTCAAGTCAAGTACTCCCTAACCACCCCCAGACCACTTACACTTCAAATATGTTGATAGTAACCTCCTCACCAAATTCTAAGCTCTCTGGGGGCATAGCTTCTATATTTAACCATTTGTGTAGATGACTAACAATGTTCCGTGTGCTAAGAAGATATTAAAAACAATCTTGTTTTCAACTATTATCTCATTTATAAAATTAATGTGTGCATATATGAAAAGACACTGTTTTTGAAGACGTGAATAACATCAGAATATGAAGCTCACTGCTGGGGGCTGGGGGTACATCTTTTGGCAGCCAACAAAGCACACTAAGGATGTGGTTGTCTACTACTGTTCTACACACCAACTGTCCTGGCTTATGTTACTCTGCGTATTCTTCAATAGAATGTAACTTCAGAGCTCATTTTTAAAGAACTCTTTAGATTAAGGAACTACATCACCTTCCAGTCATATAAATTCAATTAAAATTCAAAATGCATTTATTAAACACATTGTAGGAAATAACAAAGACAGTTAAGAAGCCCTAATCATTTCCTTCAAGATGGTCACAGTCTGGCTGGGGGCTAGGACACGTACATCAACGGCTGTGGTTGAGACAGAGTAAGAGATGTGACACAGGAGAGGTCAAAGTGCTCTTGTGGGTCAAAGGAAGATAAGCTAGATATAGTAGGGGAGGGTCTGTAGAAAGCTAGAAGAAGCATTAGTGATGAGAGCAGAACAGAAGGTACAGGAGTAAGAGACCCCAAGAAAAATGCATGGGCATGCAGGCAACACAAAGTGTGTTGGGGAACTCTGAATGGTCCAGTTAGGACTGCTTGCCTGCTGGTCCTTTCTCTGCCATTTGTATAAGACAAGAGTCCCTATGGGTAGGAAGACTCACCAATACACAGCCTTGAAGCATCTGTTCAGCATGTGGACTTGGGCGTGACAGATTGCGAGAAGGCACCTTGTCAATCTAGCCCTTGTCAGACTCACTTGACATGGAATAAATTGTCCACATTCTCCTTCACAAAGACACAAAGGCAGAGAAGAGATTCTTTCCACTCAATGAAAGTTTGAATATGATTATTACATTTTATTAATAACTGTTACTACATATTCAAAGACTGATATAAATAATGAACAAAATTCTGTATTTTATTTTTATCTCATGATGAAAATGCTACCCACCTCTGAGAGGGGTGGAAGCTAGCGATTTCTCTTGTTACCTGCCAACTAATTTTAGCTTTAAGAACTAGAGATAGGTGTCCAACTAGACAGGGAGAGAGACTGAATATGCTCTTAGGGGCCACCATTTATCATTTGATGACATGATGGAAGCAATCCTGGCTGGTGGTTGCTGGTACCTTCTCATGCCAGCTCACAAGGGCAGCTCAGAGCATCTCTGCCCAATTCTGTGTTCAGTGACAGCAGGAGCATTTACACCATGGAAATTGGCAAAAGCTACAGATAAGAGCTTTTCCTCCCTGGAGAGCTGTGTAAATATGTGCCAGTATATCACTGGATCTCACCTTACAGAAGAAGAAACTGAAGTACAAAAGATGAAGGTCTTGTACCTAGTTCAAGGTCATACAACTGCTTTGTCATGGAGCAGGCATTAGTCGGGTCACCTGATGCTTATATGTTATTACTCTTTTCACTGAGAAGCTGCAGTATGATTAGGATTTAGAGGGTGCCTCTAAATAGATAAGAATGTAGACAACAGCACAGATTATTATACAAAAGAAACAGATGCCATGGTCTTCAAGTTAATAGCTTGCCAAGGCTAAAAGAAGAACATCCAAACTTCTCTCCACAGATGGCTCTTTTGTACCCCCCCTTTCTCCCACCCCCTTGTAGGGAGGGGTTCCTGAGAGTGGAGTAGAGGAGCAGAGACTTTAATTTCTTCCCATTTTGCATTGGAGGGAGTGACGGAAGGCATCGCTCAGCCAAGTGCCTAGATGCTTTGCACTCCACTTTGCTCTGTAATTAGTGTCTATTTGTCTCCCTAACTTAAACTGGTTTTTAGCAATTTAGAGCCAGGGAGCCCATGTTATTTCAGTGAAGTGATAAAAAAATGGATATGTAATTGAAATCCCGTTCTACTCCTCTGGGAACCTGGTATGTTGCTTCACTCGGCTGAATGATAAAGATTCGGGGCCCTGATCACAGGCAGATAAGTAGGCTAGTTGATTAGGCTGAATCCCATAGGCCATCCCTAATCTACTAGTCTGTTTGTTAACTATCTGTCTTTTTAGGATATTTGGTTTGCATAATATGATAATATAATAATGCACAAGCTCTTTAAAGGTGGAAATGAACCCAAATTGAAGACAAAACAGCCACAGCTGGCATCTGCCCTTCCTGCTGCAACAGATCAATTATCAATTAGCCACAGGTTTTTATTGAGTGCTTATTGTTTGCACTGCACTAGGTTAGGGAAGAAGAGGTGTCAAATGTCCAGTTCCTGGCTTTAAGGATCTAGCAATGACAATGAGGCATGCCCATAGGAAATTAACAAATGCTGCACAAAAGTCAATGCTTAGATACTAAATGTGTGAATCAGACCAAATGAGCTGCTGTAACAGGAATCTGGATCTTGGCTAAATAGGGCCCAGCAACTCTGCAACCTCACAGTTCCCCCTTCCCTATTCTGCTCTGTAAAAAGCAAGACACTAAAGTGTCTGGACTGATGTCAAGCCCTGCAGGTACATGGAATCTCTAAGCCAAACGCAGCGGTACTGCCCCAGCCTGGTTCCCTGCTACCTTCTGGAATGAGGAGTGGGGAAGAGCTCAAAGGGTGACTTTTCTGTTTTCTGTGTTTCTACTGCACATCAATAAATATACAGAGACAGGCAGCCACCCCTTGAGCTCCTGCGCCTGCTAGCCCCTGGGCTAGGTGTTTCATACCCCGCTCCAACATCACTCCTCCCACGCAGGCAGGAGCATGCTCGATAAAGTAGCTAGTGAAATAAGCCAGACAGAGAGAGATGGATACTGCGAGGTAGCGCTTAACACGCACAAGCTAAAAAAAGTGAAACTCATAGACACAGAGTGGGAAAGTGGTTGCCAGGAACTGGGGGAGACGGAAAGAGGCTGGTCCAAGGGTAGCACCTTTCGGCTGTAAGATAAATCAAGTCCAATGTGGCGACTGCAGTGGGTCACACTGTGGAGTATAACTGCAAATCTGTCAAGACACTCCAGCTTTAATGTTGTCATACACCAAACGAGATGATGGATATGTTCATTAACTAGATGGGGGTCTGCTCACAATGAATACCTGTATCACATCATTATCATGTGCACTTTAAATATCTTACTGTTTTATTTACTTATTCATCAATTATGCCTCAATAAAGCTGGGGGATAGGAAGGTAAAGAGCAGAGAGATGGAGGGCCTTATCCAGGGCTACACCGTCAGTGTTGTGACTCTAGAATGCAGGCTTTTCCCAGGCCCTGAATCCAGGTCATTCAGTAATTTCTCACTCTAGCCACATATCACACAAAGATGCCTGGGCCTAGGGATTCCAATCCCCAAGATCTGGGATGGAGGCCAACTTCCCAGGTGACAGCTCCTATCACTGGATGAGAATAGATGCAGTTACCTGTCTATATGCCATCTCCTGTCCTTTCCAAGAGCACCTAAGGTCAGAGGCTGGGCTGGAGTCACCTCTGTCTCCAGCAGTCAATGCAGTTCCTGGCACAGCTGAAGAGCCCCATGTATTTCTTGAGGAAAGGCTGAGTTGCTCAGCACAATCCTGCTCTTGGTTGGTATTCTACAGGTAGGGGCTCAGCACCTGCGACCAGGTCCCGAGGCTCAGCTCTTGTAGTGCCTCAAGGGGCTAGTTTGCAACAAGTGCAACATGTCAGCACCTGCAGCACACTGCCAATTACCTATTTGGGGCTCCCAAGCTGCTGGGTCCCCTGCCAGCCACCTCCCTTTGTCGCCTGCTTAGGGAAAGCTGGTTAATGTCATCTTAGCACAAAACACATGATTGGGAAGAAGGAGATAGCACAGAAGCTCAACAGGAAACTCCAATGGCACAGTGCTGACCCCTGAGAAATCTTTGGTGCAGGGGTGAGCCCCCGCGCCCCCGATTGTAAGCAATAGTCGTATGAGCTTCATGGACACACAAAATATTTGACTGGGAAAAAAAATCAAGAGACTGCTTTGTCACATGCTCCCCAAAGCAGAATTTTTGAGCATAGACACCCACAGGGCGATAATAAGGGTTCCAAAAATTTGGACCCAACTAGGGCTGAACAAAAACAGTTCCCCCAACTATAGGCCTTTTAATAACTGCATTATGCTAATCTGCACTCTGGTTATCTTTCTATATTAGGCAGCATTTCTCAAACTTTTCTTGAATTTTTCTTAAGGAACTCTTTTCTTTCTTGAAATTTCTCACGAAAGTTGTGAGGAATCCACTTTGAAACACTCACCATCTAGTATCTATTTGTTCCAAGCCCCTGTGTCCCCCGTGCAGATTTAAAGAACTGAGAGTTAAGAAAGGAAACAACAAATTAAAGAAACACTTGCCAAGACTTCACAGCTGGTTGGTGCCGAATGCAGGCCTGGGCCTCAGGGATGTCCAGTGGTTCTGTTCCCAGGGTCTCAGCTGAGATGACATACCCCACAGGGTGGTCTCTGTAGAAAAGATCAATGCTGACAGCTTCAGCCTTCAGGGTTCTAGGGAACATTCTCTCTCCAGTGTCCTGCCTTTCCTGTGCCCAAAGGTAAAGAGCCAGCAGGCATCCAGGAGCCCTCAGCTTGCCAAGTCTCCATAGACCTCACTGCCAGGGAGGGGAAATCCACCGCATTCCTGGGTTCCTAGGAACAGGAGGTTGTGAGGAGTTAAGAAGTAGGTCTGACTCTCAGCTAGTTAAAGGACGGAGCTGGGACTTGAATCTAAGGCTTCCGATTCCTCCATCCACTCTTTGACAACAAGCCCATCAGCAATGCCAGGAGCTGGTGCTCAGCTCACTATGTGGTAAGTGAACCCTGCACCTGGCTGGGGCCTCTTAATAGGCTGAGATCTCTCCGCTCCCCACTCAGGGCAGGGCTTGCTAACCTCACCCTCCAGGGATGGGGAAGCCGAGTGAGTGATACGTTCCCCCTGGTGTGACTACGTGTCTAATTCCTTCTCAGGGCCTTCTTAAGCCCTTGGCCTCAATTATGTTCCACAACCAGCAAGTGACACAAATTAATTATCTGCTAGGAAAAGAAGGGTTTTCTTTTATCTGTTTGAAAGTAGTCACCTTCTCATTTCAAGGATTGGCCTCATAAATTTCAAGGAAGGACAAAGAAGATGGCTGCCAGTAGCAGGGCGAGAAAGAGAAGGAAGGACAGGAGAGAGAGGGGTATGAGAGGAGAGCAGGGCGGAAGGTGCAAATGTTAAAGGCACAGCAATAGAACTTCTGACACTGGAGAGGGACAAAGTCTTAAATCTGCTGGGGGGGGAGGGGATGGATGTCACTGAAGGTGGTAATATTTTATTTTTTTTAAAGATTTATTTATTTATGCATACAAGAACTGGGGTACAGGCCAGAGGTGTGGGGTGTGAGAGGATCCACCAGAGACACAGTGGGGAACAGAACAGGCAGACTAACTGAAATACACTGCTGAGGGGAGCAGCGGGCGAGTCAGGAGAGGTCTGCCACGCCATGTGGGTATCTCCCTGGCGGGCCATGAATTGAACTCGTGCTGCAGTGACTGCAGATAGCTTCATAGGTTGAGTCTTAACCCTTGCGCCACCAGGGAAGCCCCATAGGTTGTGTCTTAATCCCTGCACCACCAGGGAGGCCCAGAAGGTGGTAATATTTTAGCTGAGTAGTAAATGCTCCAGAAAATGTAAACTCCAGGAGGGAAGGGACCATTTTTGCATCCCAGGGTCTATCAGAGTGACTGGCCATAGTAGATGCTCAATAAAA